TGGGATCTATTCTCGTGACTAGAGGTATCTCAGCCCCTTTGAAAGAACATTCAGGGAATATCTTTTAAGTCTTTGTGTTTAGGACAAGAACTATTATGTTTGACTTAAAGCTTCAAGTTAGTGTTAAAATATAAGGTCAACCAGAACAATAGAAATAGGATCCAAACCAGTTTATATGTTGTGGTAGAAGAAATAAGAAAAAAATATTCAAACGACCAATAAGTATATTAAAAGATCTTCAACTTTGTTTTTCATCAGGGAAGTTGAGAATGTTATGGGTTGTATCTAGATGTCCCCCCAAAGCCTCATGAGGTCATAGAGCTTTTTCAGAGGTGGCTGAATCTAAAGTGTGTGATGCTGGGATTAAGGGCATGTGATTAATAAATCAGTACACAGATCCCGGTAGTCTGGATAAATTAAAAGGGGCAGAAAGACACTATTAAGGTTCCTTTGTTGCTTTTACTACCATGTGGGTACCATCAACTGTTTCTCCTCTGTGACACCCCTCTGCCATGTGCCACTTTGCCTTGCAGCCAGCCAATTATGGACTGAAACCTCTACAAACTGTGAGCTGAATAAACCTTTCCCCTTTATCTTTGGGAGTTGGGTATTTTGCCTCAGCAACGAGAGAAAGTAACTAAGATAGTAAGGGATACTTGGACTTCTCTCATACTATGCTTAGTTCTTTCACTGAATGCAAGCTGCTGTTCAAATAACATTCCTTTTATGGGATCTTTCCCTAGCCACCACTCACCACGTTCACTCTTTGTTTTCTTGTTCTATATTCTCAAGTCATTTGCAGCTATTTCAGTTTTTTTAAAATTTGTGTATCTTTTTTTTCCTTATTTGAACCTCTCTAGGCTAATGTCACTAGACTATAGTATGAGGGATAGTATTCAGGGAGAGAAAGCATGAGTCAGGTTACTTAGGTACTTGTAGTGACAGGTGTATTATAACATCATGATCAGAGATGACTTCTTTTCCTTCCTAACATTACTCTCTGCCTGTCCCTTTCTGTCTCTCTCTGCACACACATATACATACATATACACACACATATATGTACAATATCTATCTATATTATTACACATCTACACAATACATATACATATACACAATATCTATCTATATTCTTTTTCTTAAAACATTACTTTTATGAATAAAAATAGAAACATGTTTATAGTGACATGTATTATGTAGGAATAATCACACTTGACAGTAAAGACAGTTTAACAAGATACTATTGATTCTAATTGTCAACAAGTATGTGACAAGCTGAAGGGAATGGGCAACTGATTTCTCTCCTTCTTTACCCCTTCTTTCTCTAGCGTAGTGGTGGTGCACCTATGGCATGCATGCTGCAGTACGCTGTTTGTATCACTGAAAGTTCTAAAAGGTTTGACATCACTGCTCCAGAGCATGCATGCTTCAGAACCTCCCCTTCCTTCATCTCCTCGCCCATATACACAATGAACAGAGGTACTTATGGCATGACAAACTTGTGTTCTAGCCAAGCCCAGGTTTCAGCTATGACTGCAGTGTGGCTCAACAACCATAAAACTCCTCTACTCTATCCATTTCTACTGAAATTGCAGTGGGAGGCTGGTAGCAGATGACAACCTTGAAGCCAGGGAAGCACTGATCTATGAACTAGTGGTGGTAATGCAGCCTTCGTAATTGTGAAGGCCATATTATTTATTATATTATATTCCATAGACAGAATGGCATACATGTGACAGGGTCACATCTTGTCACCTAGTTGACTAGCTCAGAGCAAGCATTAGCAATGTCTCCTACAGAAAATGACTGTGGCAAGTTTTCTAAGCAGAGAAAAGTAGGATATATATGTAGGCAGAGAAGTAGATATAGGTTAAGAACAAGTTTGCCTGAAATTCTGATCATAAATCTTCAAGACACCACAAAATCTGAGAGAAGCAGTAATGGAGGATATAATCTGATTTGTAATGTGGTTAAGTTATTGTATATTAAATGCTCAATATCAAGATTTATACACAAATATAATGAGTAGCCAAATACTCTAACATAAAGATATAATCAGAGTGTTTCAGTGTAGGTGGAAGTGAACACCTCAGCTGTTGCTAAGCCAAGAAAGTTGGTAAAAGGAAAATTCTAGAGAATGTATAGAGAGTCTATCAAAAGGAAGACAAAGTAAAAACTGTTCTTACCACCAACCAGTAGAAATTCAAGAAAACCTGAAAGCCTGTGTTTATGTCAGCCACCTTCTAAGCCTTATCCAATGTTAGGTCACTTATAATGAGGTAGGAGGAAAACTAGGAGGGGATTGTTATACAGAGTTAAGATGAGTGTTTCATGTAGGAAGTAAATTGGTATAGGCTTTCATCACTGGCTATTTCAGTGCTGGGTTTTCTCTTCTACACCACTGCTTTACAGGACATTAAGAAATACACTCCCTGTCCATTTTAGAAGAATTGAAAATGTACTAGACAAAAAGGATGTAGTACACACAAGATATCATCCTTACAGGGACTTGACAGTGTTTTAAGATAATGAGTGTTTTCATGAATGTGCAGGTAGCAGAAAATGGAAAGGTATCAGTAAATAGTGATAAGGAAAACCGCACTGAGGCCTCTCCATTAGGATGATGTGATTTGCTCATTGAAAGGGGAAGGATGACCTTCAGATACTGTTGTGGGTACAGTGTTTGTGTGCCCCCACCCAATTTGTATATTGAAGTTTCAGCCATCAATGTGGATAGTGTTAGGACGTGGGCCCTATGGGAGGTGATCAGACTTAGATGAGGTCATGAGGATAGGACCCTCAGAATAGGATAAGAAGAGATCAGAGAACTTGCTCTTGTACTCTACTGTGTTAGGATGCAGCATGCAGGCAGCCTCTGCAAGTGAGGAAGTGGGCCCTTACCAACACTCACCCATGCTGGCACCTGGATCTCTAATTTCCCAGCCTCCAGAACTGTTTGTTTAAACCACTCAGTCTATGCTATTTTATTATTGCAGTCTGTGCTAAAAGAGACATCAATTTAGATTCTGTGTAATTCTCTGGTGGATGACCATCTCCGTATCCACCTCCTTGTGATGTGATGTTTCTCCAATCAGTTCCTCTTCTCCACTCCAGTATTAACCCAGAGATAGTTCAGTCTTCCTCCATCTGAGTTCTTTACAGAATAAAGGGACAGCCATTTGAATATGATGAACATTACACTAAGTAAAATATCTCTATTAGTTTCTATATCTAGTGATCTTGGTGACCTTGAAGACCAGGCCCAAAGTTAACAAGCATAGAAGATTAAAAGTGAAGTAAAGAGGAATTTTCAGGTATGGACAACTCTTGTGGCCATCTGTGAAGGTCAGTAGGGAAATAGATGGTGGGAGCTAAAGCAGAAATTAAATATATAGTTGAATGGGAGTTTTTTTAAGATTAAAAAGATTTATCATTTTTATATGTTAGTGAGAATGATTTAATAGCCAGAGGTAGATTAATAGTATAGGAGAGAGAGAGGTGACATCTGAAGCAATTGTCTTTGAAAAGTGAAGGAAGGGCAGCCAGAGCATAAGTAGAGAGATTTGCCTTTCAGAAGGCAAGGACAAGTCTTTTATTGTAACTCAACAAAACAGATAAAATGATACAGTTCAGGAATGTTTAGGATTTAGAGATGGGAATTTGAGAGAACTCTCTCCTTACAGATCTTTGTTAATTTCTTTTTTTTTTTGGATATATTTTCTGGGAAGACAGTCTGATGGTGGTTGTATTTTGTCAAATAACTGATCACGGAATTATCTGCAGTGAACTTGGGAAGACTTTGAGGATTTGTCTTTAGGAATTGCATCTCCTGGCACAAGCAAGAACAGTAGAAGGGCCAGCTGTTAGTAAATATAGAAAGCACACCCTAGAAAGTGGAACACAACCTACATGTTTAGCGATTGATAATGGAAAGTTCAGGAAAGCAACTAGTAATGGGGAAAGAGATGGATTAGAGTATAGCATGATGCATCTGATCAGGTGGGTGGAGCACAGCAGTTAGAATCTATAAAACAGGAGCATTAGAAATGTATAAATCAGGGTGTCATATAGTTCACAGCAAGAATACTGTCTTAGTTACTTTTTCTCATTGCTGAGATAAAATACCTGATACCTAAAGTTAAAAGAGGAAGGATTTATTTTGGCTTACAGTTTGTAGAGGTTTTACTCCATAATTGGCAAGGGGTGGCATGGCAGAGCAGAAGGCACGCAACAGCAGCAATATGCAACAAGCAACCAGTGAAAAGCCTCTCCCTGTCCCTTATATCTCATCTAGGCACTCACACCCTTAATTCTTGCACCCTTAATCCTAGCATTGCACCATGAAGCAATCCCAGTGTCACACACTTTAGATCCAGCCACCTCTGAAAAGCCCCACCTATGACAGCATGAGGCTCTGGGGGGACATCTACACATAACCTGTAGCATATGCCTATCACCAATTTGTTTCTTCCTCAGTTAAAGTTGGTTTAATGGCAGAATTAAGTCCAAGGGTAATAAATGAAGGCATTAGGGTGTCAAGAGTAAAGCTACACACCCTATTATAGGCATCCTTGCCTTTTGGAGTGATCTTTGAGGTAGTGAATTTGGTACAGAAAAAAGACATGAATCCTTTTACCAGGGCTAGTATATAAATTTGGGAAGCGGTCTGAGAAATAATGCAGAGTTTTAGTTCCTAGCAAAGGGATCCATGTTTCCTGGGCTCCCAGAATTTTACTATTTGGAGTGCTATCTATAATTGGATATAAAAGAATATTTTGTTAGAATGGGAAAAGACATCACAATAAATTATAAATGGCATAAACACCATAAAATTCACAAAAATAATAATTTTTATCATTTGCTACTTAACCTAACTCTAAAGTACTTTTTCCTCTTAAATTATTTTACTACTATTCATATTACTCTAGTCTTTATTACTATAAAGAAACACCCAACACTGGGCAGCTTTATATAGAAAAAAAAGGTTTATTTAGCTCACAATTCAAAGGTTCAAGGGCATGGTGCCAATATCAGCTCAGCTGTAGTGAAGGCCTCATGCAGTCTGATACATTAGGATGCTTAAAACAGTTATACTTGCTGTTTGTAGTACTCCTATAGCTTTGTGCTCACAAACATAGAAATTCTGATAAATTAGATCTTGTATGTATTTCCAAGCAAAAAGAAAAAAATGTAGAGGAGCTTTCAGTAGTCTATGTTGCAGTGCCGAGTATATGGTATATGACTATTTCTGAAAGGAGAGGCCTTCCATTTTGACTAGATTCGATGTTTGACAAAATGCATTATACATTTTACATGCTAAATATATTTTCTATTATTGTATAACAAATTACTATAAACTTAGTGACTTAACACATTTTTATTTTAATTTCACAGCTTCTGTGCATAGGAGTTCAGATTGTAATCAAGGTGCTGATGAGATTGTGTACTTATTTGGCAGCTTCAGTATGGAGGAATTAGCACATAGGCTTATTTAGGTTGTTCGAATCCATCATTCCTTTTCATCTGTATGATCGAGGGCCTTACGCTCTTACTGGCTGTCCACTGGAAACTACTCTCAGTCCCTAGAGGCTGCCTACAATTCTCTGCCTGGTAGGTCCAGCAAAAGCAGCTCACCTCAAGGCTGTTTACTTCTTCAAAGAGAGGTGAAGTTCTCAGTTGAGGTGAAGTCTTATGTGACATAATCACGAGACTGACATCCTGTCACCTTAGCTTTATAATATCATTTAATCAAGATAATGACATCTCCTTAGTTAGCCATAAGTAAAATATGGTGGAAGCCAGTCTCAGGTTCCAGTAAAACACAAAGAAAGGAGATTATACAAGGGTGTAGCTCACTGTGAATCACCTTCATTTGTGCATGATAAGGATTGGCAGAATTTTTTAAAGACTAAGTTCCATAGATTTCATACCTCTTCTGTCCCTCACTAGCCACATAGTTCTAGGTTCATTATGTCTAGACATTTATATCATGATATGACCTCTGACCCTGTGCTTCCCTGTCGCTATCCCAGATAAGTTGGTATGTGTTTTATCTAGTACTATATGTAGAAGCTTACTGTAATGGTTAACAGTTACTTAATTATACATAGAAGTGACCAAAAACCACATACTACCCCTCTAAATTTAATTGAAAGATATTCCTAATGCAGCCTTGTCTTGGCTGGATCCTAAAGATCCCCTGGCCATTCCAGCATTGTCTCATGGAAAGAGAAAAGAAAGACAGTAAAAGAGAAAGAGTCAACCAATTGCGATTCAAATATCTTATTGTAGTGAATTTTATAAAAACGTGACTATGTGAAAAGAGCTTTTCCAGGACTGAATAAATGGGTTTTGAAGTTAAATTTCATTAGCCCTTAGGGAAATCCACTTCAAATTGCAGTTATTTATTAATTTATTTGGTGATTTTTCTCTGAATCTAAAGTGTTGGCCAGAATTTAAAGAACTTATAAAAATTTCTTATCCAATGAACTAATTATAAAAACAGACACATCAACATATAAATGAAGAAAGAAACAGGAACCAAGAGTTCCCAAGAAAATCAATAATTAGGCAGAACCTACTCTCAATATAGATGAATATTCCAGCCACTAGAGTTTTAAAATGCTTTGATTTAGATTGTGAGAGACAATGAAAATCTTTGCTTTTTGCTTAAGGCTATATTTATTATGATTTATTATATTCCAGAAATTGCATTTAGTTGTTATACTTTATGTTTAGTGTACTATTTAAATTTTAAATTTGTGGCATATGTAGTCTCAAATGTCTTTTGAGAAGTTAATTGGTGATTGTAGCATGTAATGATGTTTTCTGACCCAAAAGGCATTTCTCTTTTTCCTCCCTCTAATACACACACACACACACACACACACACACACACACACACACACACGATGGGGGGGGGCTATACAGTTTTTTCCAAAAAGAAAAGGAAACAATGCTATGCTTCCACCCGCAGCTGTCAGATTTCCTAGTGTTGGGAAATTGAGCCCTGTCTTCCAAGGTGGGCTTACACGTTCAGGGGAATCTTCTTCCTTGCTAATAATTGGTTTAGGAGTGGTCATGTATCCTGGTTTTGGCCAATTTAAGAGAAGATGAGGGTTCTGGGGAAAGGAAAGCCACAGTGAGAAGTCATCCTTTCTCATTATATTTATGGTTTGTAATAGTGAAAATCAAGTTTTATTCAGGAAAGAAAAGTGGAAGCAGAGATGCTAACTCGAATCTTTAAGTTAATGTGTCTACCACTGGTCACCGTATAACATGAAATGAAAAAATAGCCCTGCTGGTTTGATATTCGTTTGCCTTACAGCAGAAAGCACTCTTAACAGAAGCAGCTATGCATAAAAAAGTAGTACAGACATACACATACAACATTTGTTGTGTTATTTATCTCACTTCAAAAGCAGTGTATATTTATTTTGGGAATTTGGAATTACATAAATTCAAAAGAAAGAAAAAAATTTAAAATTCAGAAAACTATATTACTATGTCGTGTATATGTTTATTGTTTTTATGTATGAACTTTATTTTATGTAACTTCTAAAATTAGACTTGCTTTAAACTTGATTTGAACTTAATCATAAAGTGGTAAGATTAAATTGACCTCTATTATTTCTTTCCTTTTATTCTTATAGAATTACTTTATAGTAATGAGCAAAGCCCTAGGCAGTGGTTCACTACTCAAAACTAGAACACAGATAAAATACATGAAATTCCAATTCTTTATGACTACCCCATAAATTCTAAGGTAAGGCTACTCTAAAAATTCTTAACTCATTTATGCTGATTGAAACTCCCTAGAAGATAATGAGAAAATAATATTTGTGATATGCACTCTCCAGGCCCGGAGTGTTTTTTAGCTACATATCACTGTTTAATAGGCTGAAACTGAATTAATGTAATCTTTGTTCAATTCATGATTAGTTTGTCACTTCTTTACTAAACCAAATTGCTGAAAGAAATCCAACTTTTGACTAGTTGAATAGGTTAAATAAAGAATGAGACAACTAAAATAGAATTTTAGCTATCTTATATGTTGGATTGACTTTGCAGAATATTTCCTCTTTTTCCCCCAAAGAATCTTAATTTTTTTCTTATTAGATATGAAATACTCTCTGTTAAGTAACGAATCTTTTCATTTAAAAGCTACATTTAACTTATATCCATATTATAATTTATAAACCATAATACTGGTAAATACTGTGTATTTCTGTGCAGTTTTTCAGAACATGTCAAAAAGAATGTTTAAGCATATTAAAACAATGAAATTTCAATATAAACATTATGCACATGTATAAACAAATATATTAGGATACATTTTTATAATAAACTTCCTTATAAATATACAAAATCAAGCAAGGATTCTTAACCTTTTTTTGGCAACCTGGTATAGTCTATAAATCCTCTCTCAGAATAATATTTTTAAATGCATAAAATAATACAAATAGGACTAAACAAAAACAATTGTATTAAAATATACTCTATGCGTGGGCCCAAAGTTAAAGACTCATACATCTAGATTTTGAATAGCCCTTTAGTAAATGTACTTAAAATGCCTGCAGAAATACCTCAATAGAAGTTTCTTGAATACTTAAGAACCAACCTGAGATGTGATCTAAATATATATGGAATAAAGCCCTTAGTACCTTGTACATGTGTGTTATTTTTGCCTTTAAATCTGGAAGAAAGATTTATTATCAATTTAAGAATAAATATAAGATAAAGAGAAGATTGTTTTTGTGTTATCCAGGAGATCTGTAAAGTCTTGATATGAGTATACTACAAACTTTGAGCATATTATATATAATATGTATTTTCAATCTTACTCAATTCAAATGTAAAGTTGTGCTACAGATTAGTTAACTAAAAGTATGGGTTAAATAACAAAGAAGGCATGAAAGACAGAGTAGAAAGACGCTCAATGGAGCCAGGCATGTTGGTGCACACCTGTAATCCCAGCATTGGGGAGGATGAGGCAGGAGGATTGCTGGGAGTTTGAGGCCAGGCTGAATTATATAGCTACATAGCCAGACCCTGTCTCAAAAAGAAAAGAAAAGAAAAAAAGAATATAATTATATCTTATCAATTTCAATATGTTAAGTGATGGTTGAATTTACTTTAAGCTCTTTATCATATTTTTCTCACTGCATAGGAACTTCCCTTTCTTTTTTCCACTTCATCCCATTTTTCAGGAAAGGAGTAGAATTAAATGAATTAATTGAAACAAGTGGTGTTGTGCAAACATAGTTTGGAAACCATACTATTTAATATAAATATTAGTAGATACTAGTTTCACATTTAGATTTTCTTCTTTCCTTCCTGCTCTGCGGCCTTTTTTGATCTATGCAGACTGAAATTATGCCATTTTTTCTCCAGAGTTCCTTTATGTATAAAGCATCTTTTTTGTTTGTGCATATGCTTGATTTTGTATTGACTTTTCTTAGTGACTTATAGATTACGGACTTAGTAACATCAAGAGATAGACAAATTCTTGTGTGACTAAAACAGAGTTTTATGCATAAACACAATCAATGAGTCTTTTCTTAATTGTGTTTGAAAACACTGTTACTATGATAGCAGTTAGTACCACAAATCTCGCGGACTATACAGCCTAGAGGAATATTACTAACCCTTGTTCAGATCTTGACCCTCTACCCTCCTTTAATCGCAGACTCTTCACCGCCCATACCATGGAGGTGGGAGGGAGTGGTCTGCGCTGTGTGATGGACCTGTTGGCGAGGTGGAGTGGACGGTGGGCTTGGAGGCTCCGTATTCTGAGTTAGAATGCGTTTGAAGCTGAAGAGAACGATACATGTTTTTGTTTTCTCTTTTAATCAGAGGAAGGTAAATTGATCTTATGGCCAAAAGCCTCACTGTCTCTGTGCTCTAGGTATTGCTATAGCATAAGATTATAATTGCTGCTGAGCCCTTTTTAGAGAAAAAACTGCACAGCGTGGTAAGGTTTGGATGGCGGTGAAGTTTCTCAGCCGTATTTTATTTTTATTTTTTAAATCTTTTTGCCTTAGACTGTGGTTATTTTAATTTTTTACGAACTGTGGTTTAAAAAAAAATGTTTATAGCAGGAAAAAGCAAAAAGAAACCCAAATAATATGTGATAGAAAGTTGCATATAAATATGTGGCAAGCTTTGTGTTTATTACTTCCAGATGAAGCAAGTTAGTACCTTTTCTTTCCTTATATTACTGAGGGCTCTATGAATCATAGAGAGAAATATCCATATATAAGTGGATCAAAGCATGGGTTTAAAAAAGCAAAGAGAAAGAAAAAGTGATTTACTGGGTCTGACACCCTGTTTAACATTCCAGGATCAAACCAATACCAAATTCCTAGGACATAGTAGGGAGTCCAGCAGACAATAAAGGAAGTGGCAAATGCCACTGTCATCTCCAGTGTCCTCAGCCGTGCTCTTGGTATATTGTTCTTGGACTGATTCAGTTGTAGTTCTATTAGATGAAGAAAAGAGTATGCATTTAAAGGGAATTTTCTCACAAAACCAAAATCCTGAAAAAAAGAATCACTTGTCCAACCTAATGCATAAAATGGGGTAAATTGTCCAATAATTTTAATAATGAAAATTTGTTCAAAAAGCATGTTTTTAATTAAGTTGTTCACTCTATCACATAATGAAAAGATCAAGACAATGCTCTTAAAATTAAATTTGGTACTCAAACAATTAAAATACAAATTTAGGAGAGTACACAGTGGTTGAGCTGGGTTGAATTATGACGACACAGAATTACATTCATTCGGTATCTCTGCACAAAGGATAGTGAGAATTGTACAAGTGTGCCACCCCAAATCATCTGCTTCATCCATGTGCTTCTTTTCTGTGAAATCAAAATTATTTAACTTTTCACATAAATACATCATTTAAAGTCTATAGTTTGTTTTTGTGAAGAAATTTATAGAAATCAATAGAATTACTGATTTCAATAATCATGCTGTCTCCCTGAAGTTAAGGACTTAGTTTTTAAAAAATTTCATTGGCTGAGTGTGGTGGCACACACCTGTAATCGAGCATTCTAGGGGCTGAAGCAGGAGGATCTCCATGAGTTCGAGGCTAACCTGGGGTACATTGTGAGTTCAAGGACAGTATGACCTACATGACAAGGGCCTGTCTCAAAAAAACAGGAAAACAAAATTTAAAAAAGTTGCATTTTTAAGTGCTCCAAACTCTGTTCTTATGTTTCATAATCCAGAACTGCTGTTTTAAAATGAATGCTCTTTGTATACTGTATTTTTCTGAGGGAAACAGTGATATTCTGAAATAGTCATGTTACATTTTGTTCATTATGTTATAGCTATAAAATTAATTTTTGACTACAAATATTGAAATAAGTAATTTATTGAATATATGAGTAGGCTAGTTTTGGATTTTTGATCAGACAAATCTAATTACTATTTACTGTGGGCTATAGGCCTTGATCTTTTCACAATTATTTTCTTTAATACTCAATAACTGTAAATGTTAGTGACAAACAAGTACTAAAGCAATCAGTAGGAGTGAACACAGTTTTAAAAAGCAGCTTAGCACGTTGGTTGAATATGAAGATATACAGGTACAGCATGCTGTATTTTCATCTCTTTTGAAATATCAGCACACTTGATTACTAGTTTACTGTTTACTCTTTGACTTTTCTATCAGATTGTAGCTTTATGTTACTATCCATGGTATCCATACAGAATTTTCTTGCAAGATTTAGTGGCCACTACACATTAGTTAAATAAATAAAAAAAATAAATGAATGAATGTGGTAGTAATATATAACTCTTGCCTCCTGCCTTTGCTTTGCTTTTCTGCTTTTGTGCTACTCATATTTCTGTAGATTAATCCGTCTTTTAGATTCATCTTATTCCCTATGCCCTTCTTAGATACTCCTTATACAACTGAACCTCTGTTGGGTAAAATTTTGAAGGGAAATATTTTTTGCAGTATACTTTTTTTTGGATATATTAAATAGCATTTTGTGTTGGCAAGTGGAATTTTACAGAACATCACTGTGATTATTTCCATTTGATAATATCTCCTGAGAATGATCATACCATAATAAGTAAGGCGATTTCCCTGTTCAGTCATACCAAATATAATTTCTGTACTATGTCATTGTTAGTATGTCTTTGAGGTGTCATGCCAACATAACAAAGCTTATTTCATAAATTTATAAATTTGAGTGCTTCAGATTACTGAAGCCAAAAAGGTACAACCACATCTGTGAAGTTTTAGATGGAATAGTCAGTTACATACTTAACAATATTTGACACACCAACATACATATACACACAGGCAGACACATGTAAGTGTGCATGATTTATGTGGTATGGATATGGGGGATTTGAATATGAAACAAAACAGTTAACAGGTCTATTGGCTACCATCTAACAGGTTGTCTACTGTGGTCTAGATACCAGGTATTTGTTCCCAGCAGGAACAATTTTCCAATGTTTGTCCTGAGCTTTAACGGAATAATTGCCCTTTCTTCTTTAATTCCATGGTGCAAATTTAGAACACTAGAAGATATTAAATTATCTCATCTATAAATAAGGGGTAAAATAAAGTGTCATCTCATGGAGTGACTGTGACTATTAAATGAACAAATACATATGAACTGTTTGTAATAGTATCTGGCATTTAGTAAGTACCATTGTGCTTTAGTGTTGCTGTTTAAAAATGACCCTCAATAACCACTAAATCTAAGGAATACGTACTGTGGGGATCCTGATGAAGGACCTGTGTCAGGGTAAAGATGATTTTTGCATTGCAGATCAGCATGATGAGAAGGGGAATAATGAAGAGGCAGCTGAAGGTGAAGAAGTTATAAAAAGCTTGATGCCACCACTGTGGAAAACTGCAGTGTGTTACACATTGAGAGAAAACTTCCTTTTGCCCAGAACCATTTTCTAGGTGAATCACCTTGAAGATATATAACTGCATGAGAAAATAAGACAACAAAAAATTACGTTACTTTTTTTGAACAGTATTTTAAGGCTTTTTCTCCCCTGTGCTATTAGATTTATAATATGTTGTTACCTAAAGCAATTTCTAAGGTCCTTGATATTATTCTCTTGGAATTTCTATGAAAACATATAAGTGGATGTTTACTTACAATATGATTGGGTAACTGTAAATGAAGCTATAGGATTTTAGATTTGGGGAAATTGTTTCAATCTTGTAGAACAATCATTACTCAAAACCTTGTTTGTACTTTAAACCTTGCTTGTACTCTAAATTTCAGGTACAATTTGGTCAATTTAAGTTTTTATAAGTGATTTTGTTCATTGTACACCAATAGTGCCTAAAACTAGACAGTCACTTAGAATGCACGTTCCCAAATACATATTTAAAATTAATTTTAGAGACCAGAAGCCCTGTTAAAATGTTACTCTTTAAAACAATATTCAAAAGATGTGAACAGTTTACAAGAAAAATATGTAAGTGGCATGTAGGCATATTATATATTCACCCTTATTCATGCTAATAGAAATGCCAATTAAAGTTACACTGAAATGCCATTTTCACTGTTGAGATTGGAAATTCATTCGGCAGGCAAGGCTGTGAGGAAACCCTCTTAAATTGCTAGTGGGAATTCAAACTGACAACCATTATAGAGGGCAGTTAGGTAATAACTAGCATAACCATGTGTGCATTGTGATATTAATCCTGGTTGTCAATTTGACTGGATTGGGAGATGTCTAGAATATTGGTAGAGCACTGGTCTGTCTGTGTCTGTGAGGGTGTTCCAGACAGAGGAGAGGGGAGACTACCCTGAATGTGGGCGGAACCATCCAGTAGCCTGGAGCCCACATGGAACAAAATGGGAAGGGGAAACTTGCACTTGCCGGACACTTCTTCAGAGGGTATGGTTTTTTTTTGTTTTTTTTTTTGTACCAGGGATCAAACTTGGAACCTTGAGCTTGCGAGGCAGGCTGTGGAACCACTAGCTAAATCCCTGGCCTGAGGGTGTGGTTTTTTTTAGTGGTACTTGGCCCATGAACCTTAGAGTACAGATTCTTCAGCCTTTGAACTGGATTTGCATCAGTGACTCTCCAGGGAGCTTCCAGTCCTCCAGCCTTGGTCCCTCTTGTTTTGAATCTTCTAGCTTCTTGGAATGAGAAGCTACTGTGTTTCCCTGGTTCTCCTGCTAGCAAATGACTGCTGTGAGTCTATCTGGTCTCAGCTAATCTAGCAAATGATGTATATATTATGCTGGTTCTGTTTCTCTGGAGAAGTGTTATAGAACATTTCCCTTTGATACAGCAATCATATGTCCAAGGAATTTACCCTAAACATACATCCATACCCTTATGTGAAAATGCATATGCATAAGAGTATTCACTGATGCATAATTTGTAATTGAAAATACTAAAAATAATGTGATGCCAACTCATAGAAAAGTGACTGAATAACTACATAAGAATAACTACAATAGAATAACTTCTTATATATTAGAATAACTGTAGTAGAACACACAGTGAATTGCTACTCAGCTGTAGAATAAGGCAAATCTCTATTAATCAATCGATCAGTCTATCAATGTGGACATATAGTTTTTAGCTGTATCCATACAGAGAACCTAGAAATAATGATCACCTATCAGTAATGAGCACCTCTTGTACCCTAGTACCCAGATCTTATTTTCTCAATACTAGTCTCTACTAAAAGGAACCAGAGGTCATTGGAGAAGGGGGTGGACTCCAAAGCTGGGCCAGACACAATAAAATACATGCTTCCAATGACTTGAGCCACAGAGGATATATAGAGAATGGTGTAAATAGAACGCAGGAACTAGCTGGAAATGACTCTTTTCAGCTAAAATTGAGCCAGTTTAAACATCAAAATACAAAAAGGAAGCATTAAAAATAATCAGTTATTAGTATAGTGATTAGCAAATATTAATCACTAATTCCATTTTATACTTTTCCTTCTTTTATTAGTTGAGATTCAATAATAGAGATCTTTTTCCTCTCCCCATTTATTTGCTGCTGTTTTGTAATTTGTATCAGCATGGATTCATAGATTCATACTTTATTCAATAGTCTTTTTAATGCTTCCTTTTAGATTATTTCTTGCTGAAAACAATCGAGGAACTATAACTTCACAAAGGGCTGCTTGAACTGACTTTCCCTATGTGCAGCACTCCATAAAGATTCTTTCCAGAGGACATCCTTCACATGGCGAGGCTGGAAAATAGCTCTGGTCACTAGAGACTGGTAATTGGGGCTGCAGTGAATCTAAAGAGTCAAACTCTTTGAAGTAATGTTTTTCTTTAGCTTCTACCTGTACCCTGCCATGTCTCTCATAGTAACTACCCTCGATCAGATATTTGTTTGTTTTATGTTTCCTTCTCAAATTAGTTGGTATTCCTCTAAAAATTATAGATACATCATGCTTTGGTGATTTCTTCTAATTTCTCTCTGTTGTAAAAATCCTCAAGGACATTTATTTCCTCCCTCCCTCCCTCTCTCCCTCCCTCCCTTCCTTCCTTCCTTCCTTCCCAACGTACCTTTAAAAATGACACGTATAAGACCTGAATTATTATACTCTGGCTTGCATAGCTTTAAGGGTGAGTAGTATAGTTTTGTGTCAGAGAGGAGTTTGGGTAAATTTACCAATCAGAATACAATCTATAATTTTGAAAAATTTGAAGAAATCCATATTTATATAAGCATTTCTTTTGGTTGTTTCTTAAAGAATTAACCATTTTCATACTCATTTCTGTATTTTACCTTTTAAATTTTAAAAATCTTTTTATGAAAGAAAACAAAGGGAAGGAGTAAGAAAGGAGGAGAAGAAGAAGGAAATGAACATTAACTGGGTGTTTAAAATTAACGTGTAAAGTCTTGGTCTGGATGATTTTATATAGCGTCACATAACTTATTTTTTATAATTGCCTTTTCAATTGTCTTAGCTATTTGCTCAGTCATATAGCTGGTTAGGAGACAGTACTGAGATTTAAATGCAACTTTTTTTTTTTTTTTTGGTACCAGGGATCGAACTCGGGACCTTGTGCTTGGGAGGCAGGCAGTGGCACCGAGCTAAATCCCCAGCCCTAAACACAACTCTTTAAATCCAATACTGTTGTCATTTCTGTAATCCCACTGGCTTTCAATCTTTGTTGCAGGGACATCAGTGGCCTCTAAAGTGACTATGACTGGGGCCTAGTAAACTGTCAGGAGGAGGAGTGCTCCTCCCATAACCCTACTTGAAAGAGTGCAGCTGCAGTTATATTTGTTTAATTTAGTGGGACTCCACATAGGGCTAATGTAAAAAAAAACTGTTACAAAAAGTTTACATTTTCTATGTTACCCTGTGCTGAAACATCTGAAAACACCTCCAAACCGTCATAGATTGTGGCTTCTGAGGTTAATCATCAGGCAGGTGGAAAACCAAGGTGGCCAGTTTAAAATGGATCATTCTGAGCTCTAGCAAAATGTCTTAAATTCCCAGATTTCTTGGCTTATGTTGTGCCAACTAGTTTGTCGATTCATTTTTAAATTGAGGTTTGAATGACTCAATTAATAAACAACAGATATATTTGCGAAAGAATGAAACTTAAAAGTTGATCTTTTCGTGTAGTCACAACAGGATGTGACTTTGTCAATTGGCTTATTATCCATAGAGGGTGGTGAACCAGGAGATGTATGATGTATCACAACACAGAAATAAAAAGTTCTCTATCTCTTTTGTCTTGTCTACAGAGTGGAAACATTTTTTATTTGAAGAGATAGCAAAGGGCTACAACAGAGAAAAGCTGGACTTAATTAATCCAATACCTGTGTATCCAAAAGCCAAGAATCCAACAGGCCAAATGACATTGAGAAAGACAATGAATCTTTTAAAAGTGCAAGAGGAGGGCTGGGGATTTAGCTCAGTGATTTCGCCGCCTGCTGCTCAAGCTCAAGGACCCAAGTTCGATCCCCAGTATCAAAAAAAAAAAAAGTACAAGATGTGCCCATCAATGAGGTGTAATCAATATTTTAAAAATAATGCATTATTCATATAATGAAAATTTTTTCTCAGTTATATATGTGTGAGAGAAAGAAGAGATAGGCTAAGTCTCCATGTAGTATGTATTTACTAATTTGAGTTACTGGTAAAGACATCTGCATTCTGTTGCTTTCAAAGGTCACAGTACTTGGTCTATTATCTGTCAAATGGGGATGACTATTTACCTCACAGAGATGTCATGCATGCTCCTCATTCATTCATTTATCCAAGCAATTTTTAGTGTTAAATCTTTAAAAGAACTTTCAGCTAATAGATAAAAACATAAAATTGTACATACTAATGTATCCAAACATTTTAAATTTTAATTTGCTATCTTAAACGTACTGTAAATAGTAATGAAGTTGGACACAAGAAAGTCCCACTATTTATAGGTATACATCTTGATGTCAAACACAGACAAACATAACCACAGTATTTTATGACAAATAAATAGTATACTATTAGGAAAAAGAATAACAACTAAATCTAATTTCTTGCTATTTCTGACTCTCAGTCTTTCACTTCAGCCAAATAGATCTTCAGTGAAATTAATTATACTTTTTACCATTCACTCAAGAATCTACATGATCCTGCATTTATTTTTTTCCATCCAAATACCATTCAGCTGAGAAAACTTAAGTTTTCCTACTACTTTTGTCTTAAAACCTGTCTTCATTATTTCAATCCAAACTCACCTCTTTGTCTTCTTATACCCATAAAAGGTTTAAAATTTTAAAATAGCAAATTGTATCAGTTCTATATAAATTTTGTATCACAAATGAATTACATTTTCCCCACTATCTTGTTTCATTAGTACCAGGCTCCATGTTAGGTGTGTTTATCTTCTCCAAGAAAACCAATCAATAAGCAGTATTCACACTGTACTTTAAAGAAACCTCATGGAAATTTCAAGGGCATAAGCCTTAGCTAAATAACCTCATTTCAAGGTGAATATTTGCAAAATTTAATCTTGTGCATTTAGTCACTGTGAAAATAATTATAATGTGTTTTACTTAGGGGAAATCAAAAGGATTTTAATTTTTATCATTTTTCCTGACATGAAACACATAGTAATAAGATTTTTCAAAAAATTGAGGAAATTATAGGGACATTTACTTAGTTTCTTACAATGTTCAGTCAGTTCTACATGGCATTAAAAAAAAAAAATCTAGCCAGCTTCAAATGTCTATGTAGATTTTCAGTTTTTAGAGGCACATTTTTGGTGGATCCTAGAAAACTGTGACTTTATTTCTTAACACATTCTTGTATCCTGAGTTTATCATGCAGTGCATTTGCAAGTATAGAGACAAAGTGTTTATCTGTCATGAAAGGATCTTTGTTATTTTCCAAAACTTGTTCTTTTCTTCAAAAAGGTGATCACTGAAAAGGGATCCTGTAGTTAGCCTAGTTTAGCCTAGTTGCTTCTGATGAAGGGGATTTGGAGAGATGTCTACCTCCCATATGAAAGGGTCTGCTTCCTACACCTGATGCCATGACACTTTGTCAAACACCTGTCTGTAGCACAACTCAAGTCAACCTCAGAGAAATATTCAAATTTCTCAAAGTCCAAAGTTTCCCACTTTTCCTGTGTATTCAAACCTGACTAACTGCAAACTATGGAACATACTAATCAAGATAATTTCCTCTCAGTAGAAGTGATAGAATTCCTAGTTTTCACATAAACTGCCAGTATGAAAAGTTATAAAATTTTTTTTACCTATATAAATATCATAATTTCTCTACACTCTACATTAACCATTAAATCTATGTCAACCACAGAAAAATAAAAATAACAATAATAAGGTAAGGATGAGGTCAATTTTGCATATAGCTACCTTTTAGAGAGCATTTACTATGTACCGGAGATTATACTAGAATTTTCAATATGTTATTCATTTAATTATCACAAAAGCACATGAAGTAGGCATTATCTCCATTTTATAAATAAATGAACAGAGTGGTTAAGAAATTTGCTCAAGGAAACAAAGCAGGGTCAGGATTAAATTTCACTCTGATAACAGAGCCTCAGCTGTTAAAGGTAATATAGTACATACTGCCTATAGTAAGACCTTTACTGAATTTCAGGTAGGAAATCTTTGATCAGCATAATCACAAAAAATAATGGTTTACCTGTGGTCCCGCAAAGACACTACTGAGGACCCAGGCCAGGCCAGTCATGAACTGTTCAAGCTTCCTGCTGCTTTGCACAGGAAGGGGCCTGGTGATGGCCAGGGTGCGGTCTAGGCTGATCACCACCATCATGAAGGCTGGGGCATACATGGAGAAAAGCTTCAGATAGCTGAAGATTTTGCAGAGTAACTCTCCTGCATACCATTGAACTGTAATGTTCCACATCCCATCCAGCGGCATGACAATCAGAGTTTCCAACAGGTTGGCTAAGGTCAAGTGTTTCAAAAGCACCTTCATTCTTGAGAACTTTTTCCCTTTCTCCTTCTTCTGAGTCCATTTCTGAAGTTTCCACAAGAAAGAAGCATTAAAGGTGGTGGAGAGTAGAAAAAGAAAAAAAGTCACCGTCACTCGGATCTTTCCAGATAAGGTCAGGGTGGGAAGGGTGCCCTGTATCAATGGGACACTATTGTTGATGGCTGAGCAATGATTTTGATTCTGTTCAGAAGAGGCACTGTTTTCCATTTTCCCCCAATGATAAAGCTTCAATATGTGTGTTTTTGGTACTTCTGATGTTTTATTGTAATTGATCCCAAAGTCTCATTTTATTTCTGCCTTCTTTAGCTGGAAACGTCAGAAGTTTAGCTTTATGTCAGATTTTGTCCCTAAGGTTCTTTATTTTGAAAGATCAAGGTGAACTTGTTTTGTGAGTTTGTAATCCAACTGAGTGCAAGAACAGAGGATGCCAAACACCTTCTGAGGGACAAATGTAACTGTACCACCTCAGCAGATGGTCTGGTTTGCACAATGTTTTTTGCTAAGTGAAGGACACTGGAAACCTATTTTGAATGTATAAGCCACTCATGATATTAGTTCAATAACTTTAATGAAGAGCTTATCTAAGAACTATTAAGTATTAGTGCTCTGTCCTCAGACAGATGCACAAGGAAAATAAAGGGAAATACTAAAAAATTAAAAATTTGATCCAATTAAATCTGTTATTTTAAGAACTTAGTACATACTTCAAAAACATTTGTTTTCTTTTTTAAACATCCTGTTGAACATTTGAATATATGTTAATTTAAAATTTAAATATGATATTAAATTTGAATGTGATATGTTAATTTAAAATTATCCTATATAAAACACCAAATTAATACCTTAGCAGAACCATATTGACCTAATAAAAATGAGACTGTATTCACATTTACCAACCTTAATGGCTAGATTCAGTGTTAAAGTCAGAGTGTAAATGATTAAAATTTTTTTTACTACTGCCTTGATTTTTATAATTATCTGAGTATTGTATTTGCTCACATACAGTGGTACCTTGGTTCATGAATTTAATTCATTCCAGAATTCTGGGGAAGATGGCCACATTTGTGTTCCTGCAGGGAAGCTGGCTGCATCATCACTCCATGCAGAGTTTACAAATGGAAGCAGAATTTTGCCAATCACTTCTGTTTGTGAACTGAATTGTTCACGAACAGAACCATTGGTGAATGAAGGTTTTACTGTAATTGTGTAGGGAAACTAGATATTGGAGAGAATGGTTGTTTATTGGGCTAGTCTAATGAGCTTCCTCAGATTCCCTCTGTACTAGCTGCCTCCTGGATCCTGAACAGCTTATATGAATTGTTTACCTGGGCTCCCTCTTAGCTATCACTATATGTTCAGAATTCCCTGGCTTCTCTTACTACTTACAGATTTGGATATTTAAAAAAATTATCCTACAAACTATGGAATTTAGCTTCCCAAGTAGCTTTCTGAAGACTCTACATGTATTTCCTAATATAGTAGTATGTTTCTGGTCTGAAACTGATTGTTTTGGAGTGACTAGTGAAAGGAATAGATGAATTGAAAATGAGAAATATGTCTTTTAGAAGCAAGGAAGATTGTGACATAGAGTCTGGCAGCATATCACAGACTTGAGACACCTGGAAAACAACAACTTAGTGAAGAGAAAAAGAAGAGAAGCTCTGGGAATTAAGAAAGAACCACCAAGAAAACTAGAAATCACAGATAAACTGGAGAAATTGAAGACAACACATGGAAAAGAATGAAGCATGCCAAATGCTAACCCAGGCTCCTGGAAAAGGGGATCTGTCTCTACACACACAAGGTAAGCCCAGAGAGGGCTGCCAGCCCCAGTGAGAAATGACAGACTGAGCTGGCAGCTCTAGCCCCAAGAAAAGTCTTTAATTATTATAGTCTGCAAAAGCAGCATGGAGTTTTACTCTAAAAGTAGCTCTTTCTGTAATGTAGGTTAGAGTTGGAGAAGAAATACTTTGTGACACCCACCATATTTGAGAGTGATTTATCAGGAGTCATTTTTGGAAGAGGTAATTGTTTAAGATTGAGCTACTCCAGGAATCAGAAGGCACAGAATAACTACTCTTTAGGGTTTCTAAGGGTCATCCTAGCACAATGACTGGGTGAGAGATGGCCATAAGAGAGTTCCATAGAAAGAATAGGTTAGAATAACCCTCCCTGAAAAATTTGAACTCAAGCTGAGAAGGACACAGGTTTTATCCTCTGTGGTGAGAGGTGAAGGTAGTTTTTGGAGAGGACTGGGTTTGAAAGTGCTGACTACTTGACCCCTTCTACCCCTCACCACACCCTGCTGTCTACATCCAGCACTGAGATCAATGATCTGCTTGCTTTACTCATTTGACAATGTGAACAGGAATATGCCTCAGCTTGGATGGTTGCCACAGTCCGCAGCATAGACAGAAGGGCCTCTGGAGTGTGTTTGTGTGGGGAGAGGTCTACAAACCCACAGCCTTAAAACTAGGCAGAGAAAGCAGTGATTTGGGGGCACAGAGAGACATAGAAACTGGGAATGGCTGTAGTGAATGCAGTCCTGTTACTGGGTTTTAGGGTGCTGGAGTCTCTTATTAGAGGTTCTTTCTGTCCTAAGCCAAAAATTGGTCAAGCCAAGAGCAAATGATAGAAAAGTTTTATTAAAGATGGGAAAAGAAACAGGCTCTGCAGGGCATATTTGAGCAAAGTAAAAGTAGGAAAAGAAATTCATTCCTTTTTGTATCACCTATTCCTGAGGCTGATGTCAAGTCTAGGCCATCTTATTAAAAACCCGCTTGAGTTCTCCAGAAAAGCCCATGTGCAGGGCTTTGGGCATGTGTCCTGGGATTTTGTAACTAATAGATGATACCTACTTGCCCAGCTAGCTTTGCCACATCCTAATCTCCTGTCTCAGACCTAAGGCAGATATCATTGACTGACTATTCCCAGCAAGAAAATGTGGAAGGATGGCACTCACACACAAAAAAGCGAGTGTGAAAACTAAATGGATTTAGTGATGCACTATTCCTCCTCAAATCTTGTGAATTCTAATCCTGCAAGCCCTGGATAGAAATCACTCACTCAAAGACATGGAGGAATTCCTTGGACTCATTTCTCTTTTTCATTGTTGGAATTTTTGGGGGGAGGTTGGTTTCCTTTCTTCTTTTTTTATTTTGTTCTTTTTTCTTTTTGTTCATCTTATTTGTTTTTTTACTTGTATCTAATTCTATTAATTTTTAAATTATTTAATTGGTCCCTTTATCTCACTTTTCTCTCCTTTTCATCTTCCTTTTTTATTTTTCAAAATTTCTTTTAATTTTCTTTCTTTCCCACATACTATTAAGCTTTATTAATTTTTATTTTTAATTTTTTGTTTTTTATTTTAAACATTTTTTATTAGTACATGTTTGTGGTACATAATTATTACATATACAGTAGGGAATTGGTAGATGTTTGTTACTGGAGAGCTCTGCAGTTAGGTTCCAGTATCCTGTCCAGTGTATGATGCAGGTCTGAGGGGAAAAAAAATTAAAAGACAGAACTAAGATAGAGAAAGCAGGGTGCCAGGACAACCACTGCCGGTGCAACTGACAAAGGCCCTGGCCAGTCCCAAGCACTGACTTTTATTGGCAATCAATTGGGGTAAAGGCAAGCTACGTGCAAGGGCAGGGCTACATGTGGTTTCTATGAAAATTAATATAAACAAGGCTCGTAAGGGCAAGACAAAGCATTCTCGAATTAGGACAGAATAGACAAAATATATGGTTGTAATTAGAATGTCCTTCTAGTCAGAAGATTTTAGTTGTGGAAACAGAATTTGGGTGCAAGTTACTCTGACCTCAGCATGTAGGCTTCAGCAAGACTCACTTATATAAACAAGCCAATTGTGGGGTTAACTCTTCACAGCCTGCTTTGGGCATAATCAATATTATGGTCCTCTGTGTAATACATCTCAATTCGTTTTCTCCCCTTCTTCCACTGGATTTTCATTTTGCCAATATCAGATTCATTTGTTTATCTTATAAGGAAATTTAATTTAATTATCTCATATATATATATATATATATATATATATATATATATATATACACAGAGAGAGAGAGAGAGAGAGAGAGAGAGAGAGAAAGAGGGCAAGCTTACCAATCAGACCAAAAGGCCAAAAAAAAACCACATAAGGCAATCATGCTAAATCAAGGTACACTTTTAGATACATTGTCCATGCTAGATAACAATAGCATTTTTCTTGCTTTTTTCCTTTTATCTGTCTTTTATTTTGTACTTTATTTATATATTGAGTTTTTTAAATATGAGAAACCATGTGATATTTAGGCTTGTGTGTCTAATTTTTTTTTTTGTACTGGGAATAGAACTCAGGGCCTCATGCTTGCCGGGGAGGCACTATGCCACTGAGCTACATTCCTGGCCTTTGCATGTCTGATTTACTTCACTTAACTTTATAGTTTCAAGGTGCATCCATTTTCCTACAAATAACTCAAATTTATTCTATTTTATAGCAATAATACCACTTTGTGTATATATACCACATTTTCTTTATCCATTCATCTGTTGATGGACATGTAGGATGTTTCCACAATTTAGCTATTATGAAATTGTGCTGGTATAAACACAAGTATGCATACATCACTGTTATATGATGTCTTTAGCTCTTTTGGGAAGATACCTAGAAGGGAAATACCTGGGTCAAATGGAATTTCTAGTTTTTGTCTTTTGAGGAATTACCATGCGGATTTTCATATTGGTTGTATCAGTTTACAGTCCCACCAAAAAGGAAGAAATGTTCCTTTTTTTCCCTACAGCCTCACCAGCATTTCTTACTGGTTGAATTCTTGATGATGACCATTCCTTCTAAGTGAGATGGAATCCATATTGTTTTAATTTGCATTTCTCGAATGACTAGTGATGTTGAACAATTTTTCATGCATTTATTGGCCATTTATATTTCTTCATCTGAGAAGTATCTATTCATTTAAGATGCCCATTTTTTTCAGATCTTTAAATTCAGGGGGTTTAAGTTTTTTGAGTTCTTTATATATTTGAGATATTAGTCCTTTGAGGAGCAGCTGGCAAATAATTTTCTTATTTTGTGGGTTGTCTCCTCACTCTGCTGGTGGTTTTCTTTGGTATGCAGAAGCTTTTTAATTTGATGTGATTCCATTTGATGATTCTTGGTATTATTTCTTGTGCACCTGGGATTTTATTTA